GCCGCAATCCTGAGAGAACAACCGACGCATGGTTCCAGGACCATCCAGACAGCCTTTGGGAGCTTCTGAACCCAGAGTTCACGAAGTAAGTTGTCATCGACCTTAAAGGGAGCAAGTTCTTGCTGCATATTGCGCAAGAGTTGTGAAGGCTTGAGGGAGCCCAGGGTCATTCCCTGGACTACGTTCCTGATCTTTTCTTGGGTAGACTGACCGGTACGTGTTACGACGGCATCCCGAAGAGTTTCTTAAGGGCGCTTCTCTGGAATCGGATTGATAACATCGAAAACGAGTTCAGCTTTATCTAAAGGTAAAGCTTGCGAAACGTGGTGGAACTTGGAGTTAGACTGACTAATTCCTCGGGTCGAGAAATGAAACTCGACCACGAAAAACCATACTGATGGATTTTTATGATAAAACGGTGGACAGGTGAAGTTCGTCGGTCTCAGAAGTACCGCCTGCTGCTTAATGGGGGTAATTTCCTTCGCTTCGGACATAATTTGAAATATAATGGGCAAACACAGTCAAAATAGAACCGTAACAGTAATTCTGTAAAATGACCCAAATCGGGCGAAAACGGGGAAATATTTTCCAAAAGTTAATTAATTACACCCCTCGTAGCGCAAAAAATATACAAAGCGAGAAAAATAACACGGGCTGTTAATGAAAAAAAGTCGTAAAAATATACCAATAACCAGAAAAATGGAACGGGCTCACCAGTTTAGAGATCGGGGGCGAGCGATATCAAGATGAGATATTTTAGTCTCGGGGTTGATGATGCTCGCGAATTCGTACGTCTAACAACGGGCGAGGTAACAAACCAAAGCAGCACGACTGATATCACGAAACCTCAACGACTGTTGTACTGTTATGAGCTGGAGAGCAGAGAGAGAAGCGTACAGGTAAGTAAGCGTGCTGAAAGTGAAAGTCAGGGTACCGTGACCAACGAGGTAGTCTTGGTCCGGTAAAACATAAAGGTCCGAGAGATGGAAAAGGTACATGAGCGGAAAGGG